GCAATTGTAGGTTTAAGCAATTAAAAATCACTCCTTGGGCTGAGTGACCACCAGGGTGCAGAGGGCTCCAGGGAGACAAGGAAGGTAAGATGGAAACTTCATCGCCTTGGTCTGCCCTCAGATGTTCTCCACACCCCTGGGAGAGCTCCCCACCCCAGTCCTGGGGGCAGCCAGGGTAGAGGCCCCCTGGGAGTGATCCCATAGTGGAAGGTCATGGAGCAGTTCACCTCACTGTGTGGGTCGCCTTAGACCATTCACTTAATCCAGGTTTCTCAACCTTGGCACTCGACATTTTAGGCCAGAATACTCTTTGTTGTGAGGGCTGCCCTGTGCCTTGTAGGATGTTTAGCAGCACCCCCAGCCCCTACCTACTAGATGCCAGTGGCTCCCCCAGCCCCAGTGATGACAACCAAAAATGTCTCTGGACATTGCCAAGTATTCCCTGGGGGGGCTCTGACTTAACCTCTCTGGGGAGGCCCTGGCTTCCACCCAGGTCAGATGGGCAAGGTCATTCCTGACCCGCCAGTTTCTTCGCAGGTAAAGATCACAGGGTAAAACCGAAGTGTTCAGTCCTCACCCCTCCTCCAGAGCACTCTTCATCTGTGGGGGCTCCACTGTTTGGTCCTGATGGTCCAACCCTTCTCGATCTCTTTGGACAAGGAAATAAGTCACTCACTTACCCTCTCCTCCCCACACTGACCCCCTGACACACACGCACACTCGTATTCATTTTCCCATGGCCTGAACAACTCAGGAAGCTTCCTCTAGCATTTCTGAGAGAATCTGAGGGCTTGGGTTGCAAGAGAGAGGGTTTGAGGCCGGGCACAGTGGCTCACACCTGTAATCCTGCTCTCTGGGAGGCCGAGGCGGGTGGATTGTTTGAGCTCAGGAGTTCGAAACCAGCCTGAGCAAGAGCGAGACCCCGTCTCTACTAAAATTAGAAAGAAATTAATTGGACAACTAAAAATACACAGAAAAAATTAGCCGGGCATGGTGGCGCATGCCTGTAGTCCCAGCTACTCAGGAGGCTGAGGCAGGAGGATCGCTTGAGCCCAGGAGTTTGAGGTTGCTGTGAGCTAGGATGATGCCACGGCACTCTAGCCCGGGCAACACAGTGAGACTCTGTCTCAAAAAAAAAAAAAAAAAAAAAAAGAGAGAGGGTTTGAGAAAAGTGGAGAGGAAAGTGGAGGGACAGCTCCCAGATTCTGGCTCCACCCACCCTCTTCCCCACTCCCCAACTGGATTCTTCCAGAACCAGGAATTCACAGTGCACCCACCACTGCGGAGTCGGGGGATGAACTCAGAGCAGGGGAAAGGAACAGTTACCCACCAGACCTCCCTGATTATCCCACCCAGCCTGGGGGCCTCGTTCCCTGGCACCTGCTGCTCCCCGTCTCTGTGGCCCGTGGGACTTAGCCTGGGGAGGGACCCTGCGGGATCCTCTCGGAGCTCATGTGGGGGTGCTTCTGACCCCTCAGTTCCCAGCCCAGAATAAATCCTCCAGACAACGTGTCTGAGGTGAGCTGGGGTTTGCTCTCAGGAGCTCAGACCTAGTGGCAGAGAGAGACAAGCACAGAGATGACCCCGATATGTTGAGTGATGTCACCGTTATCATTAAGTCCTACGAGGGAGGGTGCATCCGCGATGCAGAGCAGGGGCCTGTGTGATCCTCACGGGAGCTCGGCACACACCCGTGGACCAGCTAGGTTGGGGGAGACAGCGAGTAACGTTCTCTGAGAGCCTGCTAAACGCCAGTCTTTTTCACATATGTTGCATTATTCAATCCCCAAACACCCTTCAGGTATTAAATATAAAGCAGCCTCTTTACATAGGTGAGGAAACCAAGGCTGAGAGGCAACGTGCCCAGGTCACACAGCAAACTGCTCTGGCTTCCGTGCAGCCCAGGGCAAGAGATCTGCTAAAGGGGAATAAGCTGCCTTCCCCATCCGTTTCCAACACCTGTATGTATCCTCAATGCCCCTCTGGCTGCCCCCCACAGAGAAGTGACTAACAAAGACCACAGACCGCACAGAAATTGTAGTCAGATGGACAGAGGGAGACACTGGCCTGCTGGCCTCTCTCATGCCTCTCTCCAGACAGCTCTGCCTCCCGCGTGGCTGCCTCCCAGCCGGGCAGTGATGGGCAAGAGCATGCACCCATCTGCCCACCGAGCATGCGGCCTTGAGAAGGTTCAACCTTCTGTGCCCCAGTTTCTGCACCTGCAGCGGGGAAGTGGTAGCAATACGCCTGCCCGACAGGGTTGTTGTGAGGATTCAGTGAGCTAATGCAGGTAGAGTGTTGGGAGCGGTGCCAGGCAGGGGGTGAGCCCCCAGACACTGCTAACTATTGTCATTCTTATAAATGCCATGTAAGCGCTAGCTGCTCTTGCAGCTGAGGGCGAATTCCTAATCTCTTCTCATCATAAGACATGGGCTCTGTGGAAGAAGCAAAGGACAGGATCCTGGGTCCTTCTTCAACCTGATTCTTGAGACCAATAAATTTTTCTCAGTGGGAGCCAGAAGGCTCCAGGCCCAGGGGACCCAAAGGGACCCCAGTATCTTTGTTCATGCCCCACACCAACACTGCACCTTCGTCCCTGGTCCCCAGTGTAGGCATGAGTGTGTGGGCGGTGCTGGGTTGGAGTCCGTAGGACCTACCATTTACCAGTTACCTGTTCTGGGAGGGTCCTTGCTAGGGGTTCCCCCTAACCAAGTGGGGATTCCAGGGATGAGCCACACACCCACCCACCCCTTCACAGATGGTCATCAGGCCATCTTCCAGTGGGAAAACCAACAGGCGCAAACCTCCTCCCTTCCGGAGCTGCCAGGGAATATCTTTCAAAGTATTTGTTGGGCATCTGCTCAATACAGCAGCGGGACTGCAGCAGCAAACAAAACAGACACAAATCCCTGCCCTCGTGAGCTTTCATGCATGAGGGAGGCAGAAAATAAATAAAATAGAGAGCATGTCGGGTGATGGCAGGACAGGGAGTAAGGCAGGGACAGGAGAAAGGAAGCACGAACAATGACTCCAGTGCAGAGCAAGGCACTCCTTCATTCCTTCATTTATTGAAAGCATTTCTGAGCCCCACTGGGGGGCCAAGCACTATGGCGATAGAGGAAGGAGACAGACAGGTAACTCGGAGCAGGTAAGCAGTGATGAGTTGAACAGGGACTGGGAAGCCAACAGGACTTTCCCCAGTGGACACAGTGTGTGCGTGGGATCAGGAATGATTGCAGGTGGAGGCACAGCGATGGGAACAGTCTGAGGCCACTGAGGAATGAGGCAGTCCCCATAGGGTTTGGGTCTGTCCTGCTAACAAGGGCAGAGCCATCTGAAGTGTGGGGAGGGGGCTCTCTCTCATCAGGTTTGCCTTTTAAACATCTCAGCCAACAATGTGGAGAACCAGTGGGGAAGGAGGAGGTTAGAGGAAAGGGTCCAGTTAAGAAATTATTCTTCTTGCCTAGATTTTTGCTATTTAAGGTCAACCTCTTGAATAAGTTTTGTGCCGGAAACCATTGCAAATGCCCTAGAACATCATCACCCCATTTCCCAGATGGAGAAGCCAAGGCAGGGGGAGATTAAGCAACATGCGTGGGAGGCCTCACTGTTAGGGGATGTTTACCTTCCGAGTCCACGCACTTACTGCACTGCGATGCAGATCCACACCCGGGCAGCCCCATCGCAGGCAGTTCAGAGGAGGAGGACAGGAGAGAGGCTAGGGGAGCACAATTGATGATTAAAGGATATAGTGAATGAGTAGGGCAGGGAGGGAGGCTCTAGGAAGATTCCCCAGGTCTCTAGCTTGGGGGAAGTGAGAGGAAGAAAATGAGCTCAGTTTGGAATTTGAGCTGTGGGGAGGAGACTGGCGGGAGGGGATGCAGGAGACTGCTGGAGGACCGTCTCTTCTGGGATGCAGTGCTCAGGAGAGCTGGTTGGACGGGCAGGGTCTCCCTTGGACTGCAACACAGAGGAGGGGCAAAGGGATGGGTTTGTGCCAGGAGTGGTGAGCCCAGGGCTGGAGGAGGCTCTGGCACTGGCTTTATCCTACTGGCGAAGTTATGTCCTGGAAAGTGCCGGAAGAAGTAAGGGGTTCAAAACCTCACTCAAAGGAGGTTGATGTGGCGTGTGGCAGGGGCAGCATATGTGATGATTGGAGAGGGTCTTCAGGAGCCAAGAAGCAACTTGGGGTCCAGGGCGTGCCTTAGAGGCTTTGGCCTAGGACAGTGATGGTGGCGATGGAAATTAAGGCCCCATGAGGGGAATTCCCTGTGAAGGACTCTGCGACTGTCTTGATGTGTCACACAGCTGTGTTGGGAACTTGGTGGACAGGGGGTCATTACTGGACCTAGGGAATTCCTGAGGAGGCACTCGTGGAACAGAATGGGTCTACCAGTTTGGGGCAGTGGCAAGAGTAGGGGCGTATCAAGAGATAAGTCCAGCAGCAAATGGCCCAGGGATGCCCTTAGTTAACAAAGATGGCGCTGGCTCTGCCAGCCTTGGGCTAAGGAGAAGCGTTTCCCTTCCCCTCGGGAGGCACTGTAGGATGGAGGTTGCAGATTGAGTCTGGGATCTGCATCAGACTTCATCCCACACCCAACACTTACTCCATGACCCTGGGCAAGCTACTTAGCCCCTGCTTCCTTTTCTGGTCACCGGGGCATTGCAGGTACCTATCTTCCGGGGCTGGTGGGCCCAGCACAGAGCACACTCAGTACTGTCAGGACTAGTGACCTTGTTCCATTCACTTAGGGGAGGAAGGATAACTGAGATCCCCTGGGGAACTACCCCCTCTGTGGGCTCCATAGGGTCTCACCTCTAAACAATGCCAGGACCTCCTGCCCCTCCCTGCAGCTGCCCTCTTCCTTTCTAGCTCTGACTCCTCCCACACCCCTGGCCTCAGCTGGGCTCTGTCTAACTTACACTGCGTCCTTCCTCCCCGCCCCCAATCTCTTTCTCGTTCCAGGGCCAGCAGAGAACACAGGAGACTGAGGGAGAGCAGGCCCCAGGGTGCATGTGCCAGTAGCACAGATGGCGACTCTGTGGCCTCCTCTTGCTCCTCCCTCACTCTCTTCTCCCCTGGCCTCTTTCTCTTCACCCCATCTGCTGGTGGTGACGGGGGAGTCAGCTGTGTGTGCGTGGGAGGGTAGGGGGCGATCCTCAGGAAGGGATGTAAGCAGGTTGCAGTCCCCCTGGGGGCGGAGGGACGACAGAGCTCCTGAGTCCCCAGCTACCGGGCTGGCTCAGGGTCTATCAGCCAGCCTGACTTTCACTGTGAGACTCACCCACCCCCGCCCCTGCTGGGCCATTCCCTAACTCGCCCCACCCACCCCCTGCAGCCTGGGGGCCCCCTGCCCTCCTGCCCTCTACACTCCATTATTGCCACTCTCCCCAAAAGGCGGTGTCTGTTTGGGTGGTCTGGAGGCTATTTTTTTAACAGCTTCATTGAAATAGAATTCACATACCATACAATTCGCCCATTAAGGTATCAATTTCATAGCTTTCAGTATATGCACAGAGTTATGCATCCATCACCACAAGCAATTTTAGATCATTTTAGATGACTTAGATCATATCCTTTAGCCATCGACTTCCAGTTCCCCATCCCCCTAAGCCCTAGGCAACCACTAATATACTTTCCGTTTCTATCTAGATTTGCCAATTTCAGACATTTTATATAAATGGAATCATACAATATGGGGTTCTCTGGGACTGGCTTTTTCAGCTTAGCATGTTCGTAAGGTTCTTCCGTGTTGCAGCATGCATCACTGCCTCGGTTCTCTGTGTGGTTGGATATCATTCCATTGCATGTACCGTCCGCATTTTGTCCATTCATCAGCCGATGGACATCAGAGGTTTTTTCCCACTTTTTCGCTATTATGAATAATGCTGCCATGAACATTTGTGTATAAGTTTTCGCATGGGCACATATTTTCATTTCTCTTGGGTATTTACCTAGAAGTAGAATTGCTGGGTCACATTTACGTTTAACAGTTTAAGCTGCCACCAGACTGTTTTCCAAAGTGGCCACACCATGTTCATTCCCACCAGCAATGTATGAGGATTCCAATTTCTCCAAGTGTTTGCCAACACTTGTTATTATCTTTTTATTATAGCCATCTTAGTGGGTGTGAAGTGGTCTTCATTTCATCGTGGTCCTGATTTTTATTTCCCTGACTAATGATGTTATTTCTTCATGTGATTACTGGTCATTTGCATATCTTCTTCTGAGAAATACCTATCCTGTTTTTTAATTGGGTTACTTGTCTTTTCATTACTAAGCAGAGCCCACTTTTCCCAGTAAGGGAATGGTGGCTCACATAAACAGCAGTCGACTCAAGGCCAAGGGTGTGGGCCAACACAACAATGCCCAGAACTATGGAAACCAGAGCTTCGAGGAGCTGCAAGCAGCCTGTCTAAGGAACGGGGAGCTGTTTGAAGACCCCTTATTCCCTGCCAAACCCAGCTCACTGGGCTTCAAGGAACTAGGCCCCAACTCCAAGAATGTTCAAAACATCTCCTGGCAGCGGCCCAAGGTGGGCATTGGAAGGCGAGGCGTGGGTGGAGGGGCTTGTAGTGACTCCCAGTCATTTCTATAATCCCCAGTCCCCCACCACCCTATGCTGACCCTGGCACTGGGCTCCACCAGAGGGGGCTGGGTGCAGGAGGTGCAGTTCCGAACAGGCTGAGGCCAAACCTCCCAGTTAACGATTGGGAAGTCACTCACCCGCCTTTGCTATCACAACCCATGGCTATGCCAAACTGGCCCTGCACCCTCTCCCTCTCCCCTTATCGGTTCCCCTAGAACTTGGAGGTAGGCATCCTTCCCCAGTAAAGGTGGGAGGGAGGCAGGGACAGGGCGTCCTGGGCCTCCTGAAACCTTTATTGCTTCACTGTAGGACATCACCAGCAACCCTCTATTCATCGCCGATGGGGTCTCTCCGACAGACATCTGTCAGGGGGTGCTTGGTGAGTGGGGTGCAGGAAGATGGTCTCTACCGTGTGGAGGGGTGAATCTGGGAAGAGCGTTAGGAAAGCAGGGTATTTTTTATTTTTGAGACAGGGTCTCACTCTGTCACCCAGGCTAGAGCACAGTGGCGTCGTCATGGCTAACTGCAGCCTCCGAATCCTGGACTCAAGCGATCCTCCAGGGTATCTTCTGAGGCTGGAAAACAGAGACCCCCCAGGTTCAGACAACCGGCTTCTGCACCCTCCCTGCCCCTCCCGAGTCTAGATGCCCCCCACCCCTGCTGCAGTCTGGGTCTGGGGATGAGCTGGACGGATATATTGGTTATTTGTGGCTACATGACTAATTAAGACTTAGTGACTTAAGTCACAACAAACATTTCTTATCTCACATTTTCTGTGGGTCAGAAATTCAGAGGCAGCATAGCCGGGTGGGTCTGGTTCGGGATCTGTCATGAGGCTGCAGAGGAGATGTCAGCTGGGGCTGTGGTCATCCGGAGGCTTGGCTGGGGCTGCTGGATCTGCTCCCAGATAGCGCACTCACGCGGCAGGAGGCCTCAGTTCCTTGGCATACAGGCTGCTCCACAGGGCTGCTTGAGTGTGTGCACAACACGTGAGCTGGCTCCCCCAGAGTGAATGGGCCAAGAGAGAGGACAAGGCGGAAGCCATGATGCCTTTTATGACCTAGTCTCAGGAGTCACACGCCATCACTTCCGCCATATTACATTTGTTAGAAGCTAGCACTGAAACTGGCCCACACTCAAGGGGAGGGGAATTAGGCCCTACCTTTTGAGGGCAGGATGGTCAAAGACTTTGTGGACATATTCTGAAACCACCACAGGTGCTAGAACCTGCTCGGTTTCGGGTGTCAAATCGGGGAGCCACAGGGTCCACTCAGCCCACTCCCTCCAGGCTCCCATAGACAGCCCAGGGACAGACCCTCCTCCCTGCGCCTGGTCCTGGTCCACAGTTTCCTCCAAACCCCTCTTTACGGAGAAGGCCAGGGTGGGCTTCCTCTGGGACTGAATTCTGTCCCCACTGGGGCTGAGGAAAGGATGGGGTGTGGGCAGGGCAGAGGCCAGGAGACCTCACGCCCCAGGGCTGCTGCTGAGGCTCACTGGGCTGGAGAGGCACTGGGCCATGGGCGGGGAGAACTGGCTTCTCCCCAGTCACCCTGATGGCGACGGGGATTGGAGCATCCTTACCCTTCCTTTCCCGCCCTCTGCCTCCCCAGGCAGCCAGGAGGCCACTTGGTAATCGCAGCAGTTTCCCAGTGCCCTCAGCCTCGGCCTGGCCTGGGGTGTCCACCACCCTGCCCCCGGCGCCCCCAGTGAGGGCTGAGATGCCCGGGAGATAGATAGCAATGGCTGACTCACGGCGCTCTTCCCCCACAGGCCAGGGACACTGCCCCTGTGCCCCATCAGCGCCCAGCTCCAGGGACCCCGCTGGGGTACAGGAGACCCCCCTGAGTCTCCAATATAATGTGGGGTGTGATGGAGAGACATCTGGGACCTTCACGGCCACACCAGTGTACTCACGGGGGCGGGGGGTGGGGGGCTTGGGGGAAGTGACCAGATTTGTTCAAGGGGTGGGAGAGTATCAGCTCTCTCCCAAAGAAAGCAGGTTCCAGAGCGGGGAGCAAGACCCTGAGGCCCAAAATACCCCCTCCGCAAACTCCAAAAAACAAAAGCATGCGGCTCTAATTTGTGAATCTCTCCCATAAACGAAAACATACAGACACTCACCTCCCCAGAGCCCGTCCCTCTGACCTCAGCCTTCCCCGTTTGCCTCCTTCCTCAAGGCTCTACAGGGAGTGCTGAGGGAAGGCGTGTCTCTGCTGGGGGGCAGGGATGGGGATGGGGCCAGGCTCCGGCTCCTCTGGGACTTGGATTCTGGGGTCCCCACACAAGCGGGGTGCTCAAGCGGCAAAGCCCTGCCTGTCTTTCCAGGAGACTGCTGGCTGCTGGCTGCCATCGGCTCCCTCACCACGTGCCCCAAACTGCTGTACCGCGTGGTGCCCAGGGGCCAGGGCTTCAGGAGAAATTACGCTGGCATCTTCCACTTCCAGGTGAAGGGCAATTTGAGAGCCAGAGTCACTTTGTGGCGTGTATGTGTGTTTGTGTGAGAGAGAGAGAGAGAGAAAATGCATTTGTGCTTTGAAATTTACCTTTTTCCCTTTTGAAAAACAACATTTATTAGCGTGGGTTTTCGCCTCATTATAAGAGAATTATCTGCTCACAAAAGAAACCATGTAAGCTAATATTTTTAAGCCCAAAAAGAAAACAGTTGTTATCAGTTTGCCATCCTCCTCCTCCCTTTTCCTTCTCTCCTTCTGATTAATTATGTATATGCGTGTGTGTGTGTGTGTAACATTGGTAGTCTCTGTCACATAAATTCTGTTACCTGCCCCTTTCATTTAGCAACATGTGGACAAATTCTCCATGGCATAAAATATTTCTGAGAATCATTAAGAGTTTTTAAGACCTCAGAGATCCTACAGTCCAGCTGTCTTTTTTCAGAAGAGGGCCTGTGATCAAGAGGTGGGGGGGTTCACCCCGCAGGCCATGGCAGAATCTGGAGGGGTTCAGGCTTTTCGTTGCCTTCCCTTCACTAGTCAACCACTCTGGTTCGTGGGACCACAGACACTGGCGTGTCACTGAGCCTGGCCACCAGGAGGCGCTTGGACGACAAGGTTTTCATGCAAGGGGTGTGTGTGTGTGTGTGTGTGTGTGTGTGTGTGTGTGTGCGCGCGTGTGTACATGCATGTGTGTGGTGGGCGACCCTGGGGCAGACAGATGGCCCTGCCCCACTGAGGCACCCTTGCTGCCCACAGATTTGGCAGTTTGGGCAGTGGGTGGACGTGGTGGTGGATGACCGGCTGCCCACAAAGAACAACAAGCTGGTGTTCCTGCACTCACCTGAGACCTCTGAGTTCTGGGGTGCCCTGCTGGAGAAAGCCTATGCCAAGTGAGTGCTGGGAGCCAGGGACAGCTGGAATCAAGAGGAAGAGGTGGAGGGGAAGGCAGGACACATCTTCACTTCACCCTCTGCTGTCCAAGCTCACACCTCATCCCAAGCCCAAACAATGTCCCCTCTGTGCCCACAGGCTGAGCGGGTCCTATGAAGCACTGTCAGGGGGCAGCACAATGGAGGGCTTTGAGGACTTCACAGGGGGCGTGGCCCAGAACTTCCAGCTCCACAGGCCCCCAAAGAACATGCTGAGGCTCCTTAGAAAGGCCATGGATCGATCCTCCCTCATGGGCTGCTCCATTGAAGTAAGCCAAGTGTGCTCCTGCCTCAGGGCCTTTGCACCTGATGTTGCTTTCCCCCAAGAGGCTCTTTTCCACACACCCGCGTGGCTAGCTCCTTCTCATTCACGTTTCAGCTCAACTGCTCCTTCCTCAGACAAGCTTTCCCTGCCTCCCAGTCTAAAGTAGCTCTCCCCACCCTGTTTACTTTCTACTTGGTTTTGATTTTCTCCCAGACATTTATCATGATCTGAAATTATCTTGCTTTTTTTTTCTCTTAAAAGAGGGCTGGGGGGAGGAGGAAGGGAGGAGCTATCTTGCATTCCCAGCCTGTCTTCTCCAGACGGCACTCACGCTCCATGAGGGCAGTCACCTTATTTGGCTCACTTGCTGTGGGGCCTTGGGACTTAGGAAGGGGCCTAGCTTCCAACAGGCACCCGATAAACATTTGTTTGAATAAATAAATGAGCCTACAGTGCTGCTGTATGACCCAGCAATTCCATTCTTGGACATTTACCCAGAGAAATGGAGACTTGTGTCCCCAAAAAGCCTGTACAAAAATGTTTACAGCAACTTTATTCCTAATAGCCAAAAATGGGAAACAACCTAATGTCCTTCAACAAGTAAGTGGTTAAACAAACTGCAGTGAGTATATGCACGGACTAGGACTCAGCGATAGAAAGGAATGAACTGTGATATGTGCAGAAAACTAGAACAGCTCTCCAGGGAATGCTGCTGAATGATGAAGAAAGCCAACCCCAAAAGGTTACACAGCGTACGATTCAATTTATGTGCCATCCTTGAAAGGACGAAATAACGGAGATGGAGAACAGATCAGTGGTCGTCAGGAGGCGGGTAGTGCGAAGAGGTGGGTGGGGCGGTAACAGGGCAACACGAGGAGGGGCGCTGTGGTGATAGAAATGACCGCTGGCTTGACTGTGTTGGTGGCTACACGAGATTACACACGTGATGAAATCACATAGAACACACGCAAATGAGCACTAGTAAAACTAGGGAAATGCTACTAGTAAAGCTATTAACAGCAGCACTAGGGAAGTCTGTATAAAGTTGAGGGGTTATATCAATATCGACATCCTGGTTTTGATATTGTGCTGTACTTTTGCCAGATGTTACTGCTGGGAGAAACTTGGTACAACTGCATGTGAACCTACGATTATTTCAAAATAAGTGTAATAGTTTTTAAAAAACGAACCTGGAGAGTTCTCACCTTTCTTCAGGGGCCCCTGTCCCTCTGACCCCGAATGTCTGCCCTTCCCTCTGTTCCGCAGGTCACCAGCAATAGTGAATTGGAATCAATGACCCAGAAGATGCTGGTGAGGGGACACGCTTACTCAGTGACTGGGCTTCAAGATGTGAGTCCTGGCAGCGGTGCTCTGCCCTGAGGGCCACAAGAAGGAAGAGGACTTCCCCCCCGCAACACCGTGCCCTGACCTGTGACCCCCTCCCGCAGGTCCCCTACAGAGGCAAGATGGAAACACTGATTCGGGTCCGGAATCCCTGGGGCCGGATTGAGTGGAACGGAGCCTGGAGTGACAAGTAGGTGCACCTGACCCAGGTGAAGGGTGGGCTGAGGACACAATGGACACCTCGAGTATGGCAGTGCCATGGAGGGATCGATGGTGTCCGGCCTGTGAGGACGATCTGTGCACCAGGGCAAGCCTTCCCTCTAGATTCTTCACCTAGCTCAGGACGCCAGTGGGCAGGCAATCTGGAGCCCTGTGGGGAGGAAGGAGGTGCCCCCGACCCCCCACCCCTCTCCTTCCATGGCCTGTCTCTGCTCCAGCTCCGGGGAGTGGGAAGAGGTGGCCCCAGAGATTGTGACAAAGCTGCTGCACAGGAAGGAGGACGGGGACTTCTGGTCAGTGTGGCTGGGGTGGGCTTGCTACTCCCCCCAGGACCGGTCCTTCCTCTCCCCTGCCGCCCTCCCCACCGCGCCTGCCTCCCATAGCAGTTTTCCTTTCAAAGGGCTGGGGGTGGGGGCGCGGGGACCTGCAGGTGTGAGTGTGCTGCTGACAGGCTCTACCCCACCCCCGCCACAGGATGTCCTACCAGGATTTCCTGAGCAACTTCACGCTCTTGGAGGTCTGCAACCTCACACCCGATGCGCTCTCCGGGGCCTGCAAGAGCTATTGGCACACCACGTTCTACCAGGGCAACTGGCGTAGGGGCAGCACCGCAGGGGGCTGCAGGAACCACCCCAGTGGGTGAGGGGGTTCAGAGGGCCGGGGGTGAGAGAGGGACCACAGACTCGCTACGAAACCAGGCCTGGGGCACAAGGTCACGGGGGTCGGGGTCCGTGAGGTCAGGGATCAGTTAGATCCCACTACCCTGTGGCTGGGGAAGCTGGGTCCTCCCTGGGAAGGGCATGGTCAAGCACTGCCCCCAGCGTACCCATCCTGACCTGCTTCCTCCACAGACACATTCTGGACCAACCCCCAGTTTAAGATCTTTCTCCCCGAGGAGGACGACCCAGAGGATGACTCAGAGGATGATGCAGTCGTCTGCACCTGCCTGGTGGCCCTGATGCAGAAGAACTGGCGGCACGCACGGCCAGAGGGGGCTCAGCTGCAGACCATTGGCTTTGTCATCTTCTCGGTGGGTGCCTGGCTCCCCCGGCCACTTTCGCTCCCTCATCTGGCCTCGCCCCCTTTAGGACCCTTCCTCCCCAGGGTCACTGCCTGCCTGGGAGTGGGACATGCTCCAGCAGGCTCCACAGCCCTGACTCTTGAGTGGTGCTTTGTGCTTTTTTTTTCTTGAAACAGGGTCTCATTCTGTTGCCCGGGTTAGAGTGCAGTGGTATCATCATAGCTCAAACTCCTGGGCCCAAGTGATGCTCTTGCCTCAACCTCCTGAGCAGCTGGGACTCCAGGCATGTGCCATGCCTGGCTAATTTTTTTTTTTTTTTTTTTTTTGCATCGAGTATTCTGTTGCTGTAAAATTTTTAAATTTTTTGTAGAGATGAGTCTCACTATGTTGCTCAGACTGGTCTTGAACTGCTGGCCTCAAGGGATCCTCCCACCTCAGCCTCCCAAAGTGCTAGGATTAGAGGCATGAGCCACGGCGCCCGGCCACTTTGTGCTTTTTGAAGCCGGGCCAGCAGTTTTCCTTTCACAGATTTTTTTTCATCTATAACACTTAGCTGGCACATTCTTTGTGCCAGACAATGTTCCAAAGTCCTTAAGAACACCTTTGAGGATGAGGAAGGAGCTTGAGGGCCAGAGAGGTGAGGTCACTTGCCCAAGCTCACACATCCAGGGTCAGAGGCAGAGCCTGTGTCCTGATTCCCAGACACTCAGGCTTCTCCACAGTTCCCAGAAAATGTCCCCCTAGCCGCCCCGCCAGCAGCATTTACCCCAAGTCCAGGAGCAAAAAGACATCCCTGACAAGCATTTCCTACACCAAACTATGCTTTGCAAAATTCTAGAAATGGCCATTTGTTCATTCACTTATATAAACAAGTATTTATGGACCACTACCATATGCCAGGCCCCCGTCCAGTCTCCAGGAGTTCAATAGTGAACAAAAACAAATACAAGCCTTGTCTTCCTCCTAGGCCACGAGGCCACCAGGCCTAGGAGTGACATGCCTCAAGACAACATTCTCAAAGTTAGATAAGTCAGGAAAGGCTCCACTCCAGCCTGAGCTCTGCAGTGCACACGAGCACATGAAAGACGCTGACCACGCGGCCCTGCAGTAGAGCGACCGATTTAGCTTGGTTTAACTCACCTTTTCACAAACTTCCTTGTCCTCGATCCTCAACTCCAATAATCCCCTGTTGACTCCCTGCAGGATCTGAGTGTTCCGTGAAAAAGCATTCTGGAAAATCCTCTCCAGATTACCATCCCAGCTATTTAGTTTTTTAGTAGTGCGAGGTTGGACAAATCTCCTCACCTCTTTGGGATTCTGTTTCCTCTCCTTAACTTGGAGTGATAAAAATCTACCCCCGTAGGCCGGGCGCGGTGGCTCACGCCTATAATCCTAGCTCTCTGGGAGGCCGAGATCGGGTGGATCGTTTGAGCTCAGGAGCTCGAAACCAGCCTGAGCAAGAGCGAGACCCCGTCTCTACTAAAAATATAAATAAATTAATTGGACATCTAAAAATATATAGAAAAAATTAGCCGGGTATGGTGGCGCATGCCTGTAGTCCCAGCTACTCGGGAGGCTGAGGCAGGAGGCTCGCTTGAGCCCAGGAGTTTGAGGTTGCTGTGAGCTAGGATGACGCCATGGCACTCTAGCCAGGGCAACAGAGTGAGACTCTGTCTCAAAAAAAAAAACAAAAAAAAACTACCCCCGTGAAACTTTGTGTAAATTGTACTTTACCCTCCAAAGCTGACGGATCCTTCTGTTTTTCTGGTAGAGGCAGGGTCTTGCTATGTTGCCCAGCCTAGTCTTGAACTCCTGGTTTCAAGGGATCCTCCTGCCTTGGTCTCCCAAAGTGCTGGATTTGCAGACATGAGCCACCATGCCCAGCCTCAGGGATTCTTAATGCCAGAACCCACACCCCCCCCATCATCAGTGTCCCAGTGCCCTTAACACCCTCCCCCCGCCACACACACACACACACACACACACACACACACACACACACTATGCACATCCCACCTGGCTTCCAAAGGCCTGAGCCCCTTCACCGTCCTAGGGATCTGATCCTCCTCTCTCTCTCCTTCCCAGGTCCCAAAGGAGGTATGGAAGATGAAGACGTGGGGCTTGTCCCTGAGCAGGCACCTACCGTAGCCCTGGTTGCATGTGGATTGGCAAGGGGTGGGATCTGGTGAAAGGCTGTGGGGAACACGGCTTAGGATTCCAGCCCCATAGGGCCCCATAGGGTCGGGAAAGGAAGACACCATATTGGGATTGCCTACTGCTTGGGTGGGGTTCAGGCCAGGTCAGTTGGTGAAGATAGCTACTTCCAAACCTCCCCAACCAGGCCGTCCACCTTGGGCGACCCTCTGTCCCTGACCACTCGCGCCAGTCCTGTACCCACCTCCAGGGCGCGTATAGTTTCAGACCATCCAGGATATCCACTTGAAGAAGGACTTCTTCATGAAATATCAGGACCACGGCTTTTCAGAGACCTTTGCCAACTCGAGGGAGGTGAGCAGACAACTGCGGCTGCCTCCGGGGGAGTATATCATTATTCCCTCCACCTTGGAGCCGCACAAAGATGCCGACTTCCTGCTCCGCGTCTTCACAGAGAAGCACAGCGAGTCCTGGTGAGGGGCCCCGCCTCACTGCGCCAAGGGCCCCAGCCCAAGA